TTAATTCCGTTTTATTTTGTTTGTGTTTTTCTTTCGAATTGTTTGTGTTTTAATTCCATGGGATGTGTTCTTATTTCTTAGCAGAAAGATTATAAAATTTAAGTTAGGTGATTATGTGAATAGTCTCAAAAGCAAATAAATTTCAAGGGAAAAGTGTCAGATATGTCCTCGCACTTACATAAAAAGATCAAATAAGTCCTTGTATAGGAGGCTCTATCCGGCCGTCGTCATTTGGGGCGCTTCCCTGTGAATTTTATTTGATGAATTTTTGTGAGCATCTTATTCATTAAATCTAGTTTACTCATACCAAATTTCAGCTAAAACTTCAATCGAAAAGCATTCAAATTTTTAGCATTCAAATTTATAGTTCTAACTTACAAAAAGTAAGAAAGAATACCATAGACCTCATAAAATAAAAGATGAAATGATAAATAAAAAAAATTAAAGATGAAATGATAGGTAAATGAATAAACTAGCTAGGAAAATTAAACATTAATAAACTTCAATTTAGAAATGCATTGATATGTTTTTGAATTAATGTCAAAAATAAGACCCACAGGTTTTGATTAGACAAAATTAGGACCTAATTCCGTTTTGGACAAAAAAGAGAGTAGGAGGGATTACAAAAATCTGAAATGCCCTCAAGTCTATTTCGTTTCTACCGAGTTCTTCGCCAACACTTCTCCGCCGCTCCCAGTTCTGTCTTCACGAAGATCCAGAGATGGCTGTGAGATGGGGATGAAATCAAAATCGAGATGGCGACGGAACTCTTCAGAGACGGTGCATCACACCTGGGACGACGGATTCCACGCCGGCGCCGCACCGAGCTCCATCGATGGTGGTGAGCTATTAACGGCGATTTCAACTTTGACATACAATTCTTCTCGGTACAATTCCGCGCCGGCGCCGCACCCTGTTCTAGCTTGCTTTCGTATCTCCGATGAAGTCAGACGGCGGAGGATCTCCGCGGTAGGTTTTCCAGGTCGGGGCTGGGTTGTGGATGGAGCGGTGCCGCCCCAGGCGTTGACTGGTCCGGCTAGGTTTTAGACTGTCAGATCTGATCGGGTTGTGGTGGACTTGGGCTGGGAGGAGTGGATCAAAGTTGTTGGGGAATGGGGGTGTTCACAGTTCAGAGTTGGTGTGCGGCAGCATGTGGCGGCTGAAGGGGTTGGAGTTCGTCGGCGACGAAGCAGGACTTGGCTGGATGGCAGTGACGGAGAGGGGGATGGGCAGGGGTTGGTAAGGTGGCTTGGGGCTTGGAGGGGCTGGGGAAATGGCTGGGGCTTGGGGAAATGGTTGGGGCTTGGGGCTAGGTAATCGGGTCAGGGTGGTCGGTGACAATGGCGGTGGCCGCTCGTGGCTGGCGGTGGCAGTGGTAGCGGTACCGCGGTGGTTGGGAGTGGTGGCCATTGGTGTTACCCGGGGGCGGTGGATAACTTCGGTCACTATCAATTTATATAATGTTATTAGTAGTTGTAGCTGAATGGTTTGAGACTTTGAGAGTAACTATAATTGAACGAGTCGAGTAACTGTAACTGGATAATGGGTCGGGTAACTTTAACTGAACGGGTCGGGTAATTGTAACTGGATAATGGGTCGAGTAACTGTAACTGGATAATGGGTCGTGTAACTGTAACTGGATATTGGGTTGGATAACCGTAACTGGATAACGGGTCAGATAACTGTAACTCGATAGCGGGTCAAATAATTATAACTGGACGGGGCGAATAACTGTAATTGGTCACTCGATAGCGGGTCTAATAACTATAACTGGATTTTTGGTCACTAATGACTTTTGGTCACTGGACGTTGGTAACTAGACGGACGAACGTTGGTCACTAGTCGAGGTTGATTACTTGATGACATTTTTGGTCACTATTAATTTTGGTCACTGACAGATTTTGAATTTTAGGTCACTAATAATTTTTTGTCACTGGAGGATTTTGGTCAGTGACGGATTTTTGGATTTTTTGTCACAAATGATTTTTGGTCACTGGGTGGATTGGTCACTAGTCAGATTGGTCACTGGACGGGTTGACGTTGGTAACTAGGTAAAATTTTTGGTCACTAATGATTTTGGTCACTGACGGATTTTTGGATTTTTGGTCCCAAATGATTTTTGGTCACTAGATGGATTGGTCATGGTCACTAGTCAGATTGGTCACTGGACGGGTTGACGTTGGTAACTAGGTAAAAATTTTGGTCACTAATGATTTTGGTCACTGACGGATTTTTGGAATTTTGGTCACAAATGATTTTTGGCCACTGGGTGGATTGGTCATGGTCACTAGTCAGATTGGTCACTGGACGGATTGACGTTGGTAACTAGGTAGAATTTTTTGTCACTAATGATTTTGGTCACTGACGGATTTTTGGATTTTTGGTCACAAATGATTTTTGGTCAGTGATGAATTTTGGTCACGATAATGGTTTTGGTCACTGTGGCGTTATTGTAGACTAATAGGTGAGATTCTATTAAAGTAAGGGTATAATAGTCTCTTAACCCATTGTTAGTCTCATTTTTGGAAAATTGAAATAAAGGTCTCTTTTTTGTTCATAACTCTTTTTTTAGTATTATTTTAGACATAACCCCTATGTTTTTTATACAACTCCGAACGAAAAGTGTAAGTATCTTACTCCGTATAAAATAAGATTGGATAAAATATCGTTTCACACGTGTGTTTTGAAAAATTTCAACTCAATTCACAAGGATGGATATTATTTTTTTCAGTGGAGCAAGTGGGCTAAATTAAAATACTATCACTGGCCCCAATTCATCTACTTACCGCACATAAAGCCCAAAATATACCTGTATAATTATTTATTTTAAGGGAAAATCGCATTTTTAGTCCCTCAAACAGTCGTCATATTGAAATATTGGACTCGTATTCTCAAGTTTGTAAATGTCACCCCTCAGAAATACATCTCTGACATTTCAATGTGGTGACTATTTTAAGAACTAAAAGTGCGATCTTCTTTTATTTGAATTAGATAAAATAAATTAGTGAATACCTTTCAAATCTTTTATGCAAGTCAAGTTACAAATGGTGTCACCGAAACCATGATCACTTACGGTGTGATACAAATGGTACGGAGTATAAAAGGAACGTGAAAACGCTATCAGTGCTCATGTTTTTGTGTGTTTATTTTCAGAATATTTTTTTTTGGATAGTTTATTTTCAGAATATTATTATACGGAGGTATGAGTAAAGGATATATAGCTGAATTCGCAGATGAAGCTAAGTGTGGATGTAGCTAGGGGTGGGCGCGGTCCGGTCCGGTCCAATATTTGGCCGAACCCGTACCCGTACCGTTACTATTCAAACGGTTCGGTTCGGTCTTAGACCTAAACCCGTTCGGTACGGTTTCATTTTGAAACGGGACAGTACCATGCCATACCAATACCAAACAATGCCACTTTTTCAAAGTGTTTAAGAGGCAATTAAAGTTTAGTCGTCCTCCAAAAATCTACACAATTTATCAATTTTTCATACTCATTTCATCCCAAATTGACATGCAAAGTCAATATTTTTGGTCAACCAATGTTAGAGTTAAATTCTCTTCTTTGATAGTTAATTCAATTTGTAATAATTAAAATAAACATATTCAGAAGTTACATTGAAATTTCTTCAAAGTTGCAAGCTCCAAATTAAATATAATTAAAAATTGACATTCTAGTTAAGTGAATAAAATGAATCTGTTTGACGAAAAAAGTTAATTTTGCAAATCAATTTGGGACGAAGGTAGTATTACATAATTAATAAATTTCAGATAAATTATAGTAGTACAAATTTAAATGATTAAACCATACATCAGTCCGATTCCAGGCTTCCTATGAACTAGCAAAGACGGTGAAAATGTAAAGACACTAGTCAAAATAATGGTATAAATGTAAATTTAAATAATTAAATCATACTTCGGTCCGGTTCGGTCCGGTTTCGGTTCTCATTTTATGAGAACCGGTCATGGCATTGTTTAGAATCGGTACGGTTCGGTTTGGGACAAAAAAATTGAGATCCGTTTCAAACCCTATTTTTCGGTCCGGTACCATATCGGTTCGGTTCGGTACCATGCCGGTTCGGTATTTTTGCCCACCCCTAGATGTAGCCAATAAAATTCAGTCCGGAAAATGGGCATGTGATGGATCGGCCAGGATAGAACGGTCAATTTTAATATTTGTCTAAGCACGGTGCTAGAACGTGAAGGTAGCATGAATCGTGGTAAGCAGTCATTTAATCAAAACATCCGATAGAATATGATGTCAAAATACAATGTGACATAATGGAATTGAAGCTATCAAAATTCAAAACTCACAAGTACGCATAATACCAAATTTAATAATTTTGAAATCATTATTAGACTATTTCAATACTCTGCTCAACTCTACTACTATAGTCATTATTCACATGTTTAATGCATACACTCTCCTAATAATTCATGTATGCATGTTAAATGAGTGGCGGAACTAGAAAATTATTTTAAGTGGGGGCACATTGACATATTGACGTTCTTTTAATAGTACGTGTACTTATGTGATGGTTTTTGTAGTAGAAGCTAGGGTTGATGTAACTTCTTTGATGTAGTGGGAGGGTGTGTATGATCCCTTTTCCAAAGTAGACTCTTGGTTGCTTATTACTCTTTTGAAATAGTATTGGCTTATAAAGATCACATGTGAAAGTTGTGAGAATATATGGTTTGTTTTTAGAGACATCGAAGTTATTGTTTACTTTGATAAATAGATAATTTTCAATATCCATTTTTTTTATATTTTCTGCTGACCGCACTAGAAGTCCTTCTGCTTTGCATTAGAGCAGATCTCATGGCCATTTTTTGTTGTCAATTCTATACTAAATTTTAAACAAACAACATGCTATCAGTGGAATAAATATCTTAGCTAGCTGCATGTTCAAGCTTTAATATTTATCTTAGGAAAAAGGTGCAAATAGGTCCATGTACTAACAATAAAAGGTCAAATAAGCCCTTATTTAGGAGGCTCTGTCCGGCCATCGTCATTTGGGGTGGTTTCCGGTGGAATTTTTTGATGAATTTTTTTGAGCATCTTATTCATCAAGTCTAGTTTACTCATACCAAATTTCAGCTAAAACTTCAATTGGGGAGGTATTAAAATGAATTTTTGAAGATAACTGCGCTTCTAACTGGGATACCTCTATTTCTCTTTCCTGGTTTTACCCAAATTTGATTCACCCTAGTATATACGAAGTACTTTCGTTAAGAGTCTCATTCTTAAACTACCCCTTTATTATTCTGCCGCCGTATGTATTGCCATTAATTTTCCAAATTGTAGTCGTTACGAGTTTTGGATTGGCGAACAGATCTGCCATGGATGAGCAAATACTCACACGAATTCTGCTCTATTTGCCTCCGAAATCAGTTTACAGATTCAGGGTCGTCTCGAAATCATGGAACGATTTGATTTCGCACCCTTTTTTCATCCGGAGATACGACAGTGAGCGGCGGGGCGGCGGTCTCGGGTTGTTGTTCCTCTTTTATGAACAGATGCTGCCCTGTAATATAAGATACTCCAAACCGCCGATGAACTCAAATAAGAATTGCAAGATAGTCCCTCTTGACATTCCCGGCTGTAGAAAAATGGGATGCCCGCCTGAAGAACAGAAACTAGGCATGTTCATCAATTCTTCGAACGGTTTGATCCTCTGCTACAGTTACTGTGGAGCCCTTGTTGTTTTGAACCCCTTCACGAAAAAATCGGTCTCATTACCGCCTCCGCCGCCACTAGTAAATAGATACGAAACCATCGGGTTGATGTGCGAAGAGAACAAAAGTGAATTGGAAGCCAAGTACACCGTCATCCGAATTGTTTGCGAGTTTCGTCGACCCGAAAAGGATAGTTTGCATATCGTGACTTACTCTTCCAACACTGGCTTATGGGCCCCCACCAAACCGAGAGTGATCATATCCGGCGACCCTCATCGTGTGTTTCACGATATATCATCTCCTTTAGTGATGAATGGTGTTTTCCACTGGTACAACACGGACCGTGAGAGATTAACATTAGCACTTTATCGTCCTGGCGGTGAAGAGGTCGTCCAGATTCGGAGCTACGATGGAATTTATATTGCCAAGTACACCTCCACAGCTATGACGAGGTCATCCATCGAAGACGGTGACACGCTATGGTTCGGGTGCATGGAACGCGAAAGCATAAGTGTTTTCATGCTCCAAAATGACATTCAAGATGGCCGGTCTAATGATTTAAGTCATCAAGAATGGGTATTTAAGTGTAGCATTAGATGTGATTCTCTCAGGAGCGAGCTAGTCTTATCAGAGGGGATTCTATTGAAAGGTTTGCTTTACATTAAAAACAAGAAGGCTCCGGTTGCTTTAATTTGTTTTAAAGGACATAGACATGGTAGGGTATTTCTTTACGACTTGGACACTGACTCGTTGCTATCCGCACCATATCATGGACCGCTCACTACCTCCCAGCACCGGAATGGATACCTCTACATTAAGCATTTTCCAGATGTATATCCTTACTTTGAAGCTTCCTCTCTTTCTACTTTTGCTCTTTAGGTAGTTAGTACTCCTTATGTGTTTCTTAGTCATTTTTTACATTATCTATTTTAAATTCAATTTTTAATCAATTCTATTTGACTTTTTTGATTCAATAAGTATATACAATCCTATTACTTGTCAAAGAATGATTAAACCATTGTTCACGTTTACTTCTACGTTTTTCGGAAATAACTACATTTTTCATATTGGGGTGTTTGGAAAATAGCATTTGAGCCAAAATGGTGGTTTGACTTCTTTTAGCGTTTTTAGCAAGTAAAAGTGTCTTTTGGTAAATATCTGTTCAGCATTAGTGCTATTAGGTGGGTCCGCTGAAATGAAAAACGCTACAAATAGAAAAGTTTGGAGTTAGTGTTTGAAATGTAGCGTTTTCTACTAATTATTGTGACCAAACAGCTAAATTATCAAACATCTTTTGACAACCCGTCAACTTATTCCGCTAATCAAACCCGCTTACTGAATCTGCTATTGATAACCCGCTAATATAATTTGTTATGGTTTAACTGCTTAATGTCAAATGCACCATTATGTTTTTAAACATTTAAATTCATAGAAATAGTTGTATTTATTCAAACAAATTGGTGTTGACCACTTAGCAAATAAGTTGAAGTCCATCATTGGTTAGTCATATTCACTTGCGTAATCCCATGGAGGTTTTAGCATTTTTTTAAGGGAAAATGGAAACTAATAATCCAACCTTTTAGCGGTTTTCTTTCAATAATCCCACCTTTTGATTATTCATGAATAATCCAACTTTTGCACCTCATTTTCATTCAATGGTCCCTGGTCGGTTAATGACCTACTATTTCAAGTTTTTTTCTTATCTTTGCAAAATATTATCTTTGTGAAAGATGAGATTTATGGTATAATGATTTGCAAAGATAAGAAAATAGCTTGGAATAGCAGGTCATCAACCGGTCAGAGACCAGTGAATGAAGATGAGGTGCAAAGGTTGGATTATTCATGAATAACCAAAAGATTGGATTATTGTAAGAAGACCACTAAAAGGTTGGATTATTAGTTTCCATTTTCCCTTTTTTTAATTGGACTAATTATTTTTATAATATAGAAGAACTTGCACTAGTAGGAAAACAAGTTATTACGGCGCTTAATATACACTTTCAAAGGCACTAAAAAGCGTCGTAAATGCTTTTACCGGCGCTTGTAAAAGCGCTGGGTTTGCTTGTGTTGCTAGACTCTCTTACGATGCTAATTTGTGGTGTCGGTATAACACTATAAAAGCGTCGCTAAAGTTGAGACGCTTACAACAATCTATTAAGATACATAATATGATAATAAGCGCCGCTGGATATATAGCTACGCTTTAAAAGTGCGTGCTATCACCATATTCATTTTTTAATCAGCTCTAGTTAATTTTGTAATACGTTATGTAGAGCTTAAAACAACACTAAAAAGAATTGTAATTGTCAATCAAATTTTAAAATATCATTCAAAACTCTTCAAGTACATCAAATGTGCCACAAACTTGTTACAAAATAATATTCCTAATGTTTAATTCCCAAATCAAGCTTGTATCATACTACGTAATATCTAATACTCGGCAGTCTATCGCATCACCCAAATCAATTCTGAATCCAAAGCATAATCTGCAAAACAAAAATATTGAGCAATAAATTAAAATAAAAGATATAAAGTTCAAGAACAATAGGAAGAATAAATAAAAACACTAATCAATAATTTCTAAACTAGCAAAATAAAATATTAGAGAACATCAATAGAAGGATAACTTTGAGGAGCAAACATGACTACAAACATCACCTTTCTTTCATCCTGAAGGGCCTCCAGCACATCAGCAGCTCTAACCAATATTCCTTCCACCTATACAAATAGTGGACAATAGTTAGAAGTTAAAACCAATCCTCCGTAAGAAAATTAACGATACAGGGACACATGCCTCTATAGGGATCTCAAAATCCAGTTCAGGAATCTGCGGCAAAACACGCAAGCTATATAAGCAACAGTTATAAAAATTGAACATCCAAAGAGCAACTACTCAACTGTTAGGCACACTTGGCAGGAGTTCATTAAAAAAACATGTTAAATCTCTAATTATATCTAAAAGTAAAAAGTAACAACTAATCAAAATTCACAAGTCATTCCGCCAAAACAACAAACAAAACACATTGATAGTAGCAATTTCAGATTTTACCACTGTTCGATCAAGCACCTACAATAAGATACCAACACAGCCAAGACATTTAATAACAAACACTCTACAAATGCTCAATTACAAAGTTAACACCCCTTTTCCTTTCAAGGGGTGCAAAAACGCTCTTTTTTTTCTTTTTCTACATCAACTACGACCATATATTTCCACTTCATTAATAAATATACCAATTTGAAGTGGGAAGTAGTACTTTTTACATGCATTATCATTTTACCAATTGAAAGGCTCAAGGAATCCCAAAATCATGCCTCAAAAGAATAAAGAAGGGTGCAAAGTAACAGTAATTTGGTCAATACTCAAATTCTTGTTAGTGTGGTTGTAAGAGTAGATAATTAGATTCATCTCTTATAAAAACTTGAGAATTAACAACATATTACTATTGAGCAAACACAACCCATGAACGCTTATAGTCTTACACTACTCTTACTTCAAGAAATCAACTACAACGTATAAATCTATGATACAACCTTTTGATTGACAGTATTAAATTAAAGAACAGTGGCTACAACAACAAATAATAAAAAGCAGTAGCAAATAATTTCTAAACTAGCGAAGGATTTTTTGTTACTGTAACTGTCTACTCAGTGATTAGAATAAACTTAGTTACTCACTTGCAAATCTGGGATTTAAATTAATACAGAGTATAAAACTAGTTACTGGTTTAAAAAATAGTTAGGAGTCAAAACATATTAGCTAAATCAAATATAACTATAAATGCTTCTACTCTAAAGAAATTAAGATTGACAAAGATTACAAATTAAAATTTGCATCCTTCTAGTTTTAAGGAATTATAATGTTAGTTTTGGTTGCTGGGGAATAAAAACTAGGTATATAGCTCTATCTGCATTCATACATATAGTCATAAAGGCATATTGTCATAAAATTAGTCATAAACATATACAACCATAAAATTAAGCATAAACACATTGGAAAAAAGCCAAACACACGGCCATATCTGTCATAGAACTAAGCATACTACTTTCACACATATAACCATAAACAGACTGCTCAACACATACATTCACACTATCAAAGAAGAAATAATTACTAATTAACTTATAGAAAGAAGAGGAAAGGCAAAGCATAACTTACAACAGAATGATAGATAGGGCATGGGGCAAAACTTAAGAGAAGGAGACCACAATGCATAACCTATAATAGATGAGCCCAAACTGCTCTATCTAGGATATGAACAATAGATTAGGAAAGTCAGAGCATGGCTGCATTAGTTAAGCCAAACACAGAACATGGAATAGATAGCTAGTATAGTATAAATTAAAGAAGAGATTAAGTCATTATGGACTCTAAGAAGTACATGGCCTTCTTCAAAAATGCATTCAAACGTATAATAGTATATTTTTGCAGACCGAGGCATATATCAGATCCTCTACTAACTTAAAATAACACTTTTTTAAAACAGAATACCACGTAAAAAAATGCAGAACTGATTAAATGCAGTCTAACTATAGCAATCTTAACTATAACATAGCGAGATGAAACTCTATGCTTGATTAAATGCAGTTCAACTGAATACCACATTTTGGCCTCTATCAAAAGCCTCCATGCTTGTTTGGCCTCTATTCAGTTTTATGATAGTTATTCCGTGCTTTTTGACACGCTTTTTTTGATTGATTCCAAATCCATGATCAACCAAACAAGAAGGAAACCTAAATAAAAAAATAGAGACAATTTTACACCAACAAACATACAGTTGTAGTTACAAAATTAAATTGATTAAGAACATAGAAATTTACAATACTTGGAAAGAGAACTACAGATAAGCTCTGGCTTGGAGCTCCCCTGCACACGAACAAATCCCATCAGCTAAGGAAATCAACAAATATCAAGGGAAAAATGGAAAATGTGAAATGAATGCAAATTTACTTAGGGGAAAATTTTAAGAAGATCAAATCAAATGTTCTATCACTTCTGCAGTAATGTCGATCTCAACAAAATGGACATCATGCTCAAATTCGTCTATAACCTGCAAAACACCAGGTACATGCTCGGATGATATAAAACCAGATTGTAGAAAGTCTCGGTTTTTTACATTATAAAAAAAATGAAAAATTTTAATAACTTACAGTCCAATCACTAAACCACCTGGAGAGCAAGTAACCATGGACCAACTAAGGATCAACAGTGTTGGCACCCCATCGATCAAGAACATCGTGAGGATCTTTCGGAGTAGCTTTTATATCCATTAAAGCTTAAACTGAGTACACATTTCAAGAAAAATTAAGATTTTGAAACATCTTATGAAGATAATACAGAGATTACAGTTACATATTAGCTGAAAACTCATATGTTAAAAAGCCAAGTGTAGAGCACATGCTTCCACGCACTAAGTTACATAATATACCTAACTTGTTCTCCACATCCCTTCTTCAACATTCAAAAGCTCAAAATCAAATGAAATTTAAGCAATGAGTAATTTATGTAATCAAACAAGTTTGTGCAATCTTAGTTATTTGCATGCTTATGATCTTAATATAGAATATTTGTCTTAATTTATTTGTTATCCTATCTATTTATACACAACTGCAACCTTAATACTGAAAATAAAGAAAGAATGGACATCGAGACAGATACTGATAGACATAGTAGCTCGCTCTTCCTCATCGAAGTTACCAAAGGTATAGAATCCATCTTCATTTCCAGCCTTGCAACTTCTCTGGACGGATGTAGTGTAATCAAAGCACCAGGCTAAACCATGCCTTCCACACGGGATGTGATCAGTACACAATAATTGCAGACTCAAGTAATCAATCAGTAAACCGTGAGGATACATCAATTTCATCGAAATCACAGATAGTTGTCAAAATTAAAAGGGAGAATCAACTGACTTACAAGCAACCTGGAGAACTCTTTACGGATCATTGCTTTTGTGAGAGAAGAATTAATTCAAGAAACCACACATT